TGGTCTCTAGAGCTCTGAATTTCAGCAAGAGGAATGGCAAGAGAAGGAGAACAGACTGAAACAAGCAGGCAGAGGCAGGAGGGAGGAGGCCCAGTGTCACCAAGACGCATGGACTCAGCCTGGGCATTTCCTTACTGCTGTTTCACCCCAGCCTTTCCCCTCCTGGAAGCCTTGACAGAACCACCCCAGCATCTGCAATGTGTCCCTTCCTTTAAGTTGCAATAGGGAAGACAGCTGCTTTTCCCTCACTTAAGTATAAAAACCACGGAGGCCTTTACAGCGCTTGCATCTCGGCAGAACGTCAGATCCACAGATGTGCTTTGCCAACTCCAGAGTGTTGGCAGTGAGGTAAAATCCAAGTTTATCTTGAATGACACCACAGAAAGGATGTGTTGTCGTATTCCCAAAGTCACAGGAGGGAAGAAAAGGATCTCTAGACTAAACCACAAAATAAGGCCCAAGTCAGGCAAATGTTTTAGCAGGTGCTTCAAGTGCCTACAACTAAAAATCTTTTAAAACAACAAAAGCCCTCCAAAGCCTCCACCTCTTATTAAATCAAAATTACCCACAATGGATGAATCAAGTAATTGGAAAAAATTAAAATGAGCCTTTTCTTTGTAGTGTCTAAAGGCAGACTCCTATGCTCAGATATTAGTTCCTAAGAAAGACATTTTTCAAAGCACCGACCTGAATTAGGAGTACAAGTTCTGTCAACTTCAGACCCTGATGTGGAGCAAGATCAGACCAAAGGGCTGCAGACTTTCTGACTCGTGAAGGTCCAGTACGTCTGTTATCATCACAGCAGTTGGTAATACAACAATAATTATTTAAAAATCTGCCTATTAAATCTGCATACTGAATGTTCCGATCTCACGTCATGTACAGGCCTTGGAAGGGTCTTTTTCGAAACGGACAAACTGCCCATTTCAGGACTTCTTACAGGTAAAACCTTCACATGAGCGGCAAAGGACCAATGGCACAGAGAAGCTGCTCAAGACTGAAATGTGGAAATTCTCAAGTCTCAGCTGTAAGAAAGACTTCACGCAACCCTGTGCTGCTCTTGAGACTCTGGGCACTTCTTCCTTGTCAAAGATTTGTGACAAGCACTCAAGACTGCCCCTTGGCACACCGATACTGAGCCACGTCAGATTCCAACCAGCAGAAACAAACTTCTGAGTGATAAGAAGCTTAAAAATACGAACAAAACCTCTAACAGAAGAGAAAGGCTGTGGAAACCAATAACATTTAATGAAAAAAACCTACCAGTAGATAACAGCAAAACTTTTGCTTAACACAGATGATAGTTTTTGAGTTAAAAAATATTGTCACTTGATTGGAGATTATAAAAAATTAGGATTTAACAGATTTTCTCTCAGCCTATTTGGAAAATGACCATATAATCACAACTAAACTTCCAGTAAACTTAAAAAATTAATCAAGAATTCTAGAGGAAGTAAATTACCACGTTCTGAGAAGCTGTGCATGCAGAAATCCTTCCCATGGTACTAAAAAAATGCCCCTGAATTGTCTCCTGCAAACTGAACCTTCCAGCAGCGTAACTGGAAAGTGAGGCAGAGAACCCTAACAAAAAAATGAATTATAGTCTGAGATGGAACTTCAAAATGACTTCACTTTACCGTATCACAACACAATTTTCATGAAGATGTGGTCTGATTTCTGTGTTCTCCTCAGCGTGGCACTCCTCTGTGCAAGGCTCTTGATACCGGTTTCTACAGCACCACGCACTCAGATACAAACAGAGGCAAGAAAGGATGAGTTTCATATGGACAGTGATGAAAATGATCCAACTGCAAGGTTTGCTGCCTAACAATTCATCGCACAGGCTGTGATGAAAAGGACCGCTGTGCCTTGTGTTAACTATGCGACAAAGGGTATTAAATGAGCAAACAAGGTAATAAACTGCAAAATTAGTTCTTCCACAGTTGGCACAGTGAATGAGATTCGCTCCCATGCAATTTCACTGAAGACAACAGACTCAAATGTTATGAATATTTAAAACATCTAATCGCATACAAACCTAGATCGACATTAAATTAACTCAGAGGGAAAAAAAGTAATTTCATTTTTTTTTTAAAACCACAATAAATTAACACAAAAATAGAAATATTTGACACTAAAACTGAGCTACTGAGGCAGCATTTCAAAGCGTCTGTAAAAACACTGGATGAAACTTGAACGCATCAATTGGCTGCAACTCCTCCCCGTCCTCATCTACTGCAGACCTCCAGATCCTGATTTTCGGCTCTGGAAATCACCTGAGCTGATGAGGACTTTGGGATGAGCAAGGCAACCGAACACAAGCCTGGCTGTTCAGGATGCTATAACTGAACCTCACCCGCAAAGCAACAGCAGCCGCAAGCAGCATCTGCATCTGGGCAACCACGGCACCTTAAGTACAATTCTGGGCTTAGAGCTGAAGTGGCAGCAACTGCTTCATCTCCAGTTAAATCTCTGTGCCATCATTTAGACCCCTTACGACTTTTTAAAATTTTCTGTGTTCTAAAAAACTAGTACATCATGCTCCTATTTAAATCCTCTATTCATGCCATGAAAAAAAAGCAACCATCTTTGCTCTCCAGATTCCACTTAAACCTGAAACTGCCATTTCTAAGCAGATTCTTTTCTTCTACTAAATGCCATTTTAATGATAGATTGCATCACTTCAAAAGACTTGGAAATGATAGATAAGGTGAAAAGTCTAAGAAAAAGCTATTGGGAGTTTACCTGAGAGTCTGTTCCAAAAATACCACGCTCACACGCTTTGATATTAGTGACTAAAAATTTCTAAGGGTTTAGGCCCTAGCAGATTCTTTTCTTCTACTAAATTTAATTAAATGCCATTTTAATGATAGATTGCATCACTTCAAAAGACTTGGAAATGATAGATAAGGTGAAAAGACTAAGAAAAAGCTATTGGGAGTTTACCTGAGAGTCTGTTCCAAAAATACCACGCTCACACGCTTTGATATTAGTGACTAAAATGAAAATTAAGCCCTTAAATTGTTTCCCAAAGCCCACCATTGCCATCATACCTACAAAACTCTTGAGAACAATGAGCCAGCGGATACGCTGCGAGCTTATTGCACCATTTCCAAATGACTCACCACACCCTTACACTCCGCACCCCCACAGCTGGCTGTGTCTCTAACCAAAATGCAGCCTGCAAGAGCTCTGCAGAACAAATCACCTCTGCCATGTCTGCGCACAGATCACGGCGTGAGCACTGGCTCTGGTCACCATCAAATTACAAAAGGTAACAAGAAATGTCATCGTGAAGGCATCAGGGTTTAGACAGCCTCTGTTCTTAAAAGTTCAGGTGAAGGAAGGAAGAAGTTTATCTTGAGAGGTTTGGTTTATGGATGACACATGTTGAAAGCAGAACAAGATACGACTTAGATGTGTTTCGTAACAGAGCTCTCAAACCAAAGCAGGCAGTGACAGCAGGGGGTTCTGCCCCACCCTCCCCAGGAGCAAACACATACACAGGACCCAGCAGGAACCCTTGGCTAAGAGCAGCGAGCACTGACCACTACAGCCATGCCAGCAATGCCTCATTCTGCTGCGCTCTCTTTTCCCCATCGTGTCCTTGCTGGTAGCCTCACAGGACTGCACTGGAGCACATGAGACGGGCAGCGCAGGAGGCTCTGTAGCAATCATCGCAAGGGCACACACAGGACAGAGACACAAACTGTTCTCTCCAGGGCAAAGCATGGGAGATGAGAGGCCAGGGCTCACAGCAGACCAGATAGGAGCATGTGCTTGTGGGAGGGACAGGGTACTAAAACATGGGTGATCTTCATCTATAACAAGAGTAAACCTGAAACCATTAAACAAAACTACAGTCTTCCCTTTGGCCAAGAGAATTACCTCAATTCTAAAAAAACCCAAATTCATTTTCCCTAATACTTCTGCATTCCCACTGAGTAACAAACAGCACACTCCGGCTGTAAGACAGGAGCTTGCAGACGTCGTGGTGTGTAAGCTGCTCACAGACCAGAGGTGTGGCAAAGGGACATCCCTGTGCAGGGACAGCGCGAGGTAATCACCATAATCCGTTATTACACCAACACTTGGTTCACTTTCATTTTCCAGTATGGCATCAGTAAAATGACACGGATGTTCTACAGGAAAACGAATGGACTCGAAGGCCATGCTGCCTTCCTTACAGCATTCCAGTACTCAAAAATATTTCATCTAGGCTAGCTTGAAAATGTTGTGGTCAATATAATTTTGTTTCTCAGACACCGACTTTGTTTGACCAGTCAGATACGCGTTTGCCAACAGGATTTAGCTCCTGCTATATTCGAACCATCTTTAATCCCACGAAGGCCAAAGAAAAATGTCTCCGATTTAGCTCTGTGCACTTATGAATAACTCAAATACTACAGTTAAATTTACAACATAGTTCCCTTAGCTGTTTAGAAGACAATTGTTTTCTTTCCCTTCCCCTTAAGTTCTAGTATGTAAAATATCAGAAGAATTTAGATTAAAAAAAAAAAACTAGAAAAAGGGACATGTTATTTTTAAAGTTGTTCTTGAGAAAATTTCCACATACAAAACCGTGGCGTTTCTCCACTGGTTTGAGAATAATTTTCACATGTTGGCATCATCCTCAAGTGGCTGTCACAACTGCGGTATCATAAAGCGCCATGTATTTTCTCTTACCAAAACACATTTTATTTAACTGCTAAATTTGGTCTGATCCAAGTTTTTCTTCTCCCTTCACAACAAACAGCAAAATGCAGATGCTGTGCTCTGACCGCGCACACATCCCACCAGAGCAAGGGGCAGGGAAGCCAGATGACGACTGCTCAGGTCACGTCGCTGCACTCACAGCTCAGTAAGACTCTAAGTTCACACTAAAACGTTCACGCTGTTCACTGCTGTTCTAGGAGTCCTGTCTAGGTAGCACTGAAAAAACAAATTGTTTGGCCCCTTCTGTTACTATGCTGGAACATTGTGGCAATATACTTTGGCATATATTAAAAAAATCCCTGTAATATACCATATACTGTGACATTTCCACTTCAGATCTATCATTTACATGTGAAGCACGAATCTCGAAAGAACCTAGCAGAGCTGTAAGAAAGACTACATTTTGCCGAAGATCTCAGACACCCACTCCATTCAGTCACACCAGCTGGAGAGGTAAGTGTCAAGATACAGCTTTATTCTTAAAAACGAATATGGAGGTGAAACTCCATAGCCTCCTCCACAGCAGTAATTTTTAAAAGCGAAACCACAATGATATGTGCTCCTGATTCTTCTATGTCAGCAGCATTGATCAGAAACCTTTTTGCAAATCTGGACATGTTAAAATCACATTTAACTTATTTTTGCAATTTACGGAATCGTCCCTGCACTTTCCAGTCCAGCTGATAGGTGTCTCAGACATGACATCCATTGGAAGATCGTTTGCTCCTAGAGGTAGAGGAGTCCTTCGCTACCCTCTGTCTAGCGCAGGAGGCACAAATAGCCCCCGAGAGACGCTTAAGCCCCTTCTGAAAGACACTGTTGGAGAGACTGTAAATGACACAGTTGCAGAAACTGTTGCTAATGGCAAGCCAAGTGGTCAAGAAGGATGCAACGCGGTTACTATAGACATTGGAGCTCTCCAGCAGAAAATAGATTATGTAGGGCAACCAGAGAATGTAGAAGACACTGGTGATGCGGAAAAGAACCATGGCGTAGCGCTTGTCCGGGCAGGGCTGCGCCTCCCCAGCCTCCCCATCCTGAGAGCTGAAGCGCACCCGCCTCTCGTTGATCTCCTTGGTGTGCTGCTGGCAGATGCGGAAGATGTTGAAGTACGTGAAGCAGACGATGAACGCAGCCGGGGCGTAGAGCATCACCACGATGAAGAGGGTAAAATAGGGATCGGTGTTCCAGGAATTGGCACACCACTGAAACACATCCCCGTGATATCCAGGCTTTCCCCAGTGAAAGGAGGGCAAGAAGACCAGGCAGGAGTACAGCCAAATGACCAGGATGCAGATTCGAAGCCTCCACGGGGTAACCAGCGTGTTGTAGGTCAGCGGCTTCGTGATGGCGATGTATCTGTCGATACTAATGCACGCCAAAGAGGCCATGGAGACACTTTTCAGCACCGATACCACATAACCAAAGATTTGGCAAACCAAGGACTCACTTAAAACAATAGGATAGTGCAGCAGAGACAAAGAAGGCACCAGACAGCTCACGCCCACCAGGAGGTCAGCATATGCCATAGTCTGGATGAAGTAGCTGGTGGTATGGTGGTTCAGCAGAGGTGCACAGTGAAAGACAAATATTACTATAATGTTGCCCGAAATAATCAGCACCATGAGGAACACAATAATAACCACTTCCAGGAGGCAAAAATTGATGGTCTCCAAATAGCTAATGGCCAGGAGACAGAACGGCCGGCCACTCTGGTTGCCAACCAAAGAGGAGTTCATCTTGAGCACTGCAGTGATCTCTTT